ATAATGGTGATTACAAGTGGTATGGATGCTCATCATAACCATCATAATAACGATTATGATGAGCATAATAACCATAATAATAATAATGATAATAATAATAATGGTAATAATTTTTCATCATAGAATAATGATAATAATGGTAATGATCATCATTATCATTATCATAATAATAATAACAATGATAATGGTAATGACATTGATAAGAGTAATGATAATGATATGAATAATAATGACATAAATAATGATAATGATAATAACAATGATAATACTAATAATGATGATAACAATGATGATAATAATAATAATAATGATAATATCAATGATAAGGATGATAACAATGAAAATGATATTGATAATAATGATAGTAATACATCTACTACTACTGATCCTACTGCTAATGATAATGATAACAATAGTAACAATAATAACAGTGGTGATAATGATAATAATGTTATTAACAACAACGGTAATTATAACAATAATGATTATGATGATCAAGATGATTATGATGATGATGATAACAACAATAGTACTAATGATGATAATAACAATTATGATGATGATAACAATGATAATACTAATGATGATATCAATGATTATAATGAAAATGGTGATGGTAATATGAATAATCAAAATTAGTAATAGCAATAATAATAAAGAAGAAAAATGGTAATGATGATAAAGCAATAATAACGATAATGACAATGATTATACCAATAATAATGATGATGATAATAGTTATGATGAAAACAATGATAATACCAATAATGATGATGATGATAAAAAAATCATAATATTGACACTGATAATAACAGTAATAGTAATGATGAGAAGAAGAATGGTAATAATGATAATAGGGATAATTATGATGACAAAGTGAAAGTAATAATGATCACAGTATATTCAGTAATCATTATTTTCATCATTCCCATCCTTTTAATTACTACAATTGTTTTTATTTCATCATTATTATTAATTATCTTATCCTTGCCCTTCCCACACTTCTCCATCCTCTGTTCTTCTCCCTCAATTTCCTTTCTTCCTCTCTTCTCCACTCCGTTCCCTCCCTTCTCTCCCTTTCCTCCTCCCCTCTCACCTCCATTTCCCCTCGCCTCTAGCTCCCCTTCCTCTCTCATTTTCTTACTCTCCTTTTCCTTCATCCCCCGTCTTTCCTTTCCTTTCCTCCTCCCCTCTCTTCTCTGGTCCCACCTTCCCTCCTCCCCTCCATCTCTTCCTTCCCTTCCTTTCCTTTCTTTTCTCCCTTCCCTCCCTCTCCTCCTCCCTTCCTCCCTCATTCTCCTCCTCCTTTCCTCCCTTCTCCTTCCCTCAGCCTACCCCTCCTCCCCTACCCCCTCCC